ATGGGTTCCCTAGGGAAGTAGTGGAGTCTCCATCCCTAGAGGTGTTCAAGTCTCGGCTTGACAAAGCCCTGGCCGGGTTGATTTAGTTGGGATTGGTCCTGCCTAGAGCAGGGGGCTGGACTTGATGACCTTCTGAGGTCTCTTCCAGTTCTATGGTTCTATGATTCTATGATACTAGCTGGCTTATGCCCTGAAACTTGAGGGCTTAAATCCCTTCCAAAAGCCTTGTTTAGAAAAATAGTTCCTGTGAAAATTGGGAATTCTTGGCCATTTCTCTTTATAATTCATCCAAACACAACCAGCCCTGGGTCTGATCTTGTGTCACTGAAATCTTTGCCAATGACTATTTTTAAAAAAGCCTTTTGCAAGGGATCTAAACGGGCATTTCCTCTAACCCAAATCCCGGTGAAATCAAAAGGAAAGCGCTTGGTTTGTGTTAGTAACTTTTGGAGGTTGGCGGTGCATCTCACGTTTGCACGCTTACACAAATTAGCATCTGCTAACTAACTCGCACAACGTATTGAATGGATACGATGAAAAATGGGACATAACACTCCAGACTGGAGTACCACTTCATTCTTTACTATATAACCCTTCCAGCATCAACCTTCTCTTCCTACCTCTTTTCTTCTTCCTGCATTTCCTCTGTCCGGGGGTGGCTGGGAGGAGCATACACTGTAAGTTCAACTCCATTGTCCCAGTGCATCACTGCTTCTCGGGTTGCATTATCCCAGTGAGTGGCTACCTCTTCCATCGCAAGATCCACCTGCCCCTCGGGGAGGATACAGACTGAAATGGGAAGGGTGGAGGAAGTGGTGAATGCAGGTAGCAGGTTTTAGAAGAACCTATCCACCCCTGGATATCTTCCCCATGTAGAATGTAATAGAAAAAGCACTAAACGGAGAAGTATTGAAATATGCCAGAAATCGGAAAATGGAGCTCAGGCTTTGAATCATTTTCTGTCATACCCGACATTAGGTGTGTGTCGTTTTCCCAGAGGAAGAAGCTCAGCAGTTCCATAATGGTTGCAGAGAGGCTAAAATAAGAAGTCATCCTATCTCTGTACTCCAATGCCAGCTACTGGTGTAAATTGGGTGTGAAATGGTACAAAACTGTTGACTTTGCTGTACTTGGATGCCAGCTATTGGTGTAAATTGGGTGTGAAATGGTACAAAACTGTTGACTTTGCTGTACTTGGATGCCAGCTATTGGTGTAAATTGGGTGTGAAATGGTACAAAACTGTTGACTTTGCTGTACTTGGATGCCAGCTATTGGTGTAAATTGGGTGTGAAATGGTACAAAACTGTTGACTTTGCTGTACTTGGATGCCAGCTATTGGTGTAAATTGGGTGTGAAATGGTACAAAACTGTTGACTTTGCTGTACTTGGATGCCAGCTATTGGTGTAAATTGGGTGTGAAATGGTACGGATCTGTTGACTTTGCTGCGCTCGGATGCCAGCTATTGGTGTAAATTGGGTGTAAATGGTACAGGTCTGTTGACTTCCTTGGAGTGACACTGATCTACATCAGGTGAGGAGCCGGCCCATTTTTCTTGTCATAATCTGATTGTCCTTGCAAAAAATATGCCATGGTGGGGAAAGCCCCGGAGAGTCTTACTTGCTTGCACTCTGCTACAAACAGCCGTTGGAATCCCCTCCGACTGGGTGAAATACACCCCAGTGCAGACACGTGGCCCCCTTGCCTGCCACGCTGGTTTACAGACTGAGATGTAGGGGACCACGCTAATGGAGAGCAACCTGCAGCCATCAGGGCTCTGTGTGTGGCCCGTGAGACCTTTGTCTATGACTGCCCTTGCCACAGATTCTGCTGGTGTCCTTCTGTGTCGTTTTTTCCTCCTCGCGTGACCAAAGTGACACACATGTAAAGCCAGGGCATGGGTAGGGAGGTGCGGGCTGGTGCCACACAACATTGACCATGAGAACTGTGGCACTCCCACCGCATCCAATCCCAGCGCTGCTACGGTTCAGTGAGCCACCCCCAGCAAATTCTAGGGACAAAAGCACAGGGAGCAAATTACCCTACCCTGGGAGACCGTGTTGGTTACAACAATCTTGCAGCCCACAGAGATGAAGGGGGGCCACCCGTGGGGCCCAGTCACTAGCCTACGTGGCCTCTCAGTGGACTCCGCTCCACACTTTTAGGACACTTGCCTGTGTTCTCAGAACACCCCCAGGAAGCATTGCTGGGGCAGTGAGCATCCTCACGTATCCCTGCTGAAGTCAGACTTAACCCACTCTCAAAATCTTAATCTCAGAAAAGATCTACTGGCATTAGAAAAGGTTCAGAGAAGGGCAACTAAAATGATTAGGGGTTTGGAACTGATCCCGTATGAGGAGAGATTAAAGAGACTTTTCAGGTTGGAAAAGGGAGACTGAGGGGGGATAGGATAGAGGTCTATAAAATCATGAGTGGTGTGGAGAAAGTGAATAAGGAAAAGTGTATTTACTTGGGGTCTGTCTACACTAGCCCCCTACTTCGAACTAGGGAGGCTGATGTAGGAATTCAAAGTTGCAAATCAAGCCCGGGATTTAAATATCCCACGCTTGATTTGCATCTTCCTGGCCGGTTGCCCTAGTTTGAACTGCCTGTTATTCCTCCCGTAATGAGGTTTAACAGGTAGTTCGATTTAGAGGCTTTAATTCGAACTACCGGGTCCCTGTCGTGTGTAGACGCAGGCAGTTATTCCGGACTTTTAAATTTCAAAAAATGGCGACCGTATGGGAAGATGCAAATCAAGCATGGGAAATTTAAATCCTGGGCTTGATTTGCAACTTCAAATGCCTACATTAGTCTCCTTAGTTCGAACTAGGGGGCTAATATAGACATACCCTTGTTCCCATAATATAAGAACTAGGGGCCACCAAATGAAATTAATGGGCAGCAGGTTTAAAACAAATAAAAGGAAATTCTTCTCCACACAGTGCAGAGTCAATCTGTGGAACTCCTTGCCTCAGGAGGTTGCGAAGGCTCGGACGATAACAAAGTTTTAGAAAGAGCTAGATAAATTCATGGAGGTTAAGTCCATCAATGGCTACTAGCCAGGATGGGTAAGGAATGGTGTCCCCAGCCTCTGTTTGTCAGAGGGTGGAGATGGACGGCAGGAGAGAAATCGCTTGATCGTTACCTGTTTGATTCACTCTCTCTTGGGCACCTGGCATTGGCCACTGTCGGCAGACAGGATACTGGGCCGGATGGACCTTTGGTCTAAACCAGTATGGCCATTCTTATGTTCAACCCCAAGTTTTAATTAGCCTGCATGATGCCATTACACACTGCACGTAGGAACTAGCTTCCATGCCCTCCTCATTCCCCAACACTGCAGTGAAGTAATACTCGACAATCAAATGGTCCTTTCTGGCCGTATGTTCGATGAATTTATGTCATGTCTTTTTTCTGCAGGGGCCGACAGGCCCGCTTCCTGAGAAAAGCAGAGAACAGGTCTGATCCAAAGCCCAGTGCAGACAAAGCTTCTGTCGACAAAGAGAGTCTAGACTACATCGAGTTCTGTCGACAAAGCAAGCCGCTTTGTCGACATGAGAGTGTAGATGCAAAGGACAGTGTAGATGCAATAGCACCTTCTGTCAACAGAACTCTGTCGACAAAAGGCTTTATTCCTCATAGAAGGAGGTTTACCGGCGTCAACAAAACTGCCGAGTTCTGTCAACGTTATATCGACAGAACTCAGTGGTAGTGTAGATGCAGGTATAACTTTATCAACAAAAGTCCACTTTTGTCGACAAAACCCTGTAGTCTAGACACACACTTACAGACTTACTGGATGCATGCAAGCAAATGAAGAAGAGGAGATTCCACGACCCAGACCATGTAGTGCACAGGTGGGTACTTCTGAAGTCTCACTCACAACTCGCTTCAACAGAACTTGGCCACAAATCATACAGAGCTTACAGTGAGTTTACAAACCAAGCATGCACCAAATGAAAAACTACAGAAAGCTAGAAAAAGGACCATTGTGATCCAGCTGGTATTGCATTTTTATTCCATCATATGTGCACTGAGTGATAGCACAATGTCACATAGTGTAACACCACACATTTCTCAGGGTCTTATTTTATTTTTTTATGGAAGGACAACTATGAAAACATAAGGAAGAAAAAGAGATTTTTCTACTCAAGTTTGCTCTTGTTTTTAGAGACTATATGAAAATAGAGCAATACAGGGCATTCCCCTACCAGATGGGGACATTCTAAACACACAGGGCACGTCTACACTACAAGGAAAATCAATGCTACCATGGCCGATCTTCCGGGATTCATTTTAACAGGTGTAGTATAGAACCGCTAGATCAAACTCAGAGGGCACCTCTGTTGGTTCTGGTATTCCTGCTCCTCACGAGGAGTAAGGGAAACCAACGGGAACGTTGGTTCCCATCAGCCTCCCGCTGTGTGAATGGCACAGACACACAATGTAAGATACATCGACTCCCACTACGTAATTGACGTAGCTGAAGTTGTGTATCATACATTGACCTTCCCATGTAGTGTAGATCAGGCCACAGATAGGACATGCTATTTGGGGTAGTGAGGACAGGAAGGGTGCGTCTAGACAGCGGCGCTATTTCAGAATACAATGGTGTTTTCCGCGTCGTGACAGCACACCTGTTTTTTTGAAATAGTTTTTGAAACAACGGTCGCACGGTTCCGACATCCGGTAAACCTTCTTATCGTAGAATCATAGAATCATAGAACTGGAAGAGACCTTAGAAGGCCATCAAGTCCAGCCCCCTGCCCAAGGCAGGACCAATCCCAATTGTTGCACCAGGATGAAGGGACGTTTCGGAACAGTGCTCCATTTCAACATCTGGCACTGTGTAGACAGCGCCAAATTATAAACAACGTTATTTTGAAATCAACGCGAAAAAAGTGAGGCAATTTCTGTAGCTCAAATTTTGTAGCTTATTTCGAGCTAAGGGTGCAGTGGAGACACACTCTAACTCCTCATTGAGGCTGCCTACCTTGTAAAGGAGACTAGGGGGGAACAACAGGTTTGCATGAAAAAGAGGCATCCGATGGGTTTTGTCAGGCCAGCCCGGGATGAGCGGACTGTGCATACTGACGATTATCACACAACAGCCCCTCTTGGGAAAACTTCCCTGCTAGGGAGTCACCCTGAAAGTTCTCAACACACTAGATCTGAAAAGTGACATTGTCTAGGGAAAGGGCAACAATTACTCAGGCTGGATTTTAAGTTCATCCTTGCAAAGAGGGCCAGCAGCAGGCCTACGTGCCACAAATTTCACCTGATAGAATCCTAGAGCTGGAAGAGACCTCAGGAGGTCATCAAGTCCAGCCCCCTGCCCAAAGCAGGACCAGTCCCAACTCAATCAACCCGGCCAGGGCTTTGTCAAGATGAGATTTAAAAACCTCTAGGGATGGAGATTCCACCACCTCCCTAGGTAACCTATTCCAGTGCTTCACCACCCACCTAGAGAAATAGCTTTTCCTAATATCCAACCTAGACCTCCCCCACTGCTCTTTGCTCTGCCATATCTCTCTACTGAGGATAGCCTCTCTCCATCCTCTTTGAAACCTCCCTTCAGGAAGCTGAAGGCTGCTATCAAGTCCGCCACTTGCTCTTCTCTTTTGCAGATTAAATAAGCCCAAATCCCTCAGCCTCTTCTCATAGGTCATGTGCTCCAGCCCCCTAATCATTTTAGTTGCCTCCGCTGGACCTTCTGCAATGTGTGCACATGGTGGGGAGTCCAGAACTGGACAATACTCCAGATGTGTCCTCACCAGAGCTGAATAAAGGGGAATAATCACTTCCCTGGATCTGCTGGTAATGCTCCTCTCAATGCAACCTAATATGCCATTAGCCTTCTTGGTTACTAGGGCACATTTTTGACTCATCTCCAGCTTCTCATCCACTGTAACCCCCAGTTTCTTTTCTGCAGAACTACTACTTAGCTGGTTGGTCCCCAGCCTGTAACAATACTTGGGATTCTTCCGTCCCAAGGGCAGGACTCTGCACTTGTCCTTGTTGAACCTCATCAAATTTCTTTTGGCCCAATCCTCTAATCTGTCTTGGTCACTCTGGACCCTCTCCCTGTCCTCCAGCGTATCTCCCTGTCCCCCTAGCTTAGTGTGATAACATTTGCTATTCTGGGTCTCTCACACACACCTAGTTGCTAAAGCAGAACAGCCCTGTAGTGGAAGAGCGAGAATACGAGTTTCCAGAGAGAAGTTACAAGCAGTTATTGAATCAGGATAAGTCCCTGCGGAAGAAAGCTCACTTCAGAGACCAGAGCTGCCAGCAGCTGGCGTTCTCCGTGCTCGATATTTGGTATGTTGTGGCTCTTTAAAACATGTTGTGGTGTCAGAAGTGGTGGAAAGAGAAGAAAATAGGAAGCCCCCTTTTTGGAAGGGCACACGAGAGGGATATTTCATGGGCAGTGATTGTACAGCCGCGTGGACCTGACACCTGGCTGCATTCTGAAGACTCCAGAAGCAGAAAAAGTAAGGAAGACTCTCCTCTCCCTTTTACCAAACATAACATATCTATATCTTGCGGCGGGAGCATCGGATTTCTCTCTGCAGGAACATGAAGCTCTATTTCCTCATTGATTGCAATTAAACCAGCTCAGCCTTTAGTTTTGTTCATGGTACAGCTCGAGGAAGTGCGGAGTGAGTAGGAAAGAACTTGCAGAAATATCTTTCTCCCTCTCTCTCTACCCCGTAGTATTTGCTCTTCAGGCTGGTTTCATTATATTTTGTGCAAGGGCAGTTCTCCAAAGTCTTCATTTTCCCTTTGTTTCAGAGGCTCTAAGTCCCTTACCCCCCTGAAACAAAAGGAGAAGAAGAATGACATTAATAAAGGCATTGACTGGTTGGATTGGGAGTAGATTGGTCACTCACTGGCTGCATTTGTTTGCACAGAGTGATTTAAAAGGCCACAGCGCACCAAATCAGAGAGTTCACTGCAACAAATCATGCATGGAGGCTGAGGCTACATCTACACTACCAGTTTTCTTGGCAAAAGTATGCTAATGAGGGACTCATTTGCATGAGTCGCAATCTCATTTGCATATTTCCTGCCAATCCGTTTTTGCACGGGGGTTTTTGCGCAAAAACAAGCCGTGTGGACGTTTTCTTTTTGCACAAAAAAAAAACTTTTTCCGCAAGATCCTTATGCCCCAAAAAAGGAGGTATATTGATCTTGGGGGGAAAAGCGGTTTTTGCACAAAAAGAAAATGTCCCCACTGCTTGTGTTTGCACAAAAACCCCAGCACAAAAATGGATCAGCAGAAATATGCAAATGAGATTGCAACGTATGCAAACGAGACCCTCATTAGCATATTTTTTGCCGAGAAAACTCATAGGGTAGACGTAGCTTGACAGTCTACTCTGTGCACACAGCCAGCACAGGGCTCCTACTTCACTTAAATCCCACGTAAATAGGCTTTGGAGGGACGCAAGTGGTGCATCAGCCAGTGGTGTTACCCTAAAAGTGGGAGCATAGGATTTGCCATAGCTGGGACCATCAAATATGGTGTCCTGCCACCAACGGTGAACAATGCTTCAAGGGGAAGGCAAATAAAACTCATGCACTGCAATCAATTGAGCAGTGCCTCTTTGAAACCTCCCCATCCGATGCCCCAAGGAGGGGAAGAAGAATTCTCTAGTCATTCAAGCATACGGCATCATTCAGCCATGAATGATGGGATGTCCTGTGTCAGAAAAGCCTAGAGCAGAGGTAGCCAACCCATTACATGAATAGAGCCAAAACAGCGGTGGAAAAAATGGGAAGAGACGTACCAGAATTGTTGAGCGAGGGGGGGGGGGAAAAAAGGACACTGCCCCTTTAAAAACCAAGAGTTAGGCTTTTTGGCCACATCAGGCTCCCACCGACCAATGCCATCCTGCCGACACCATTTTGCCACACCGGACAGCTCCCCTGCACCCGGTGAACACAGGGAGCCGGGGGCCGAGGACTGTTTGTAGGGGCACATGGGGTGGCTTCACAAGCCGCACGTTCGGGGGTGAAGAGCCCTGACCTAGAGAGTAGGGTTGATGTGAAGTTGAGCTAGTGGTAGCTCTACATCCCCCACACTCCAGCACTACTAGCACCCCCCATTTCACTTGCTGAATAGATGAGCCACAGAAATGTAATAGTTGTACGCTGGGCAGAGAAATCTGAAGTGGGGACACAACTCCTATCTTGTTACCCCAAATTCCCAGTTTGGGGAACTACCCCCCGCACATGCACACTCACTGCATGGAAGCCATTTAAAAACAATCAATCAAATTATCACTGATGACAACTAATCAATTAGGACAACTATGTAGCATTTGCCTATACTCTATCCTTCAGATTTGCCACAACATCATAGCATGGTTCATAATGCAGGATGATCCATGCCTATCCAAGACAGATGTCATCTCATTTTGTTAATTACAAAGCGGGACCGTGTAGTTCAGTGCCGGGAGAGGATAATAGCTGGGACAAAGTATTCACATAGTCTGTCTTAGTATGGACCCAAATGTGTCACCTGGTGCAAGAATTGCTTTTTGCATTCCTGTGTAGAGGGAGTTTCTTTCAGGGACATTAAGGGAACGTCTACACAGTGGAGATATTTCAGGATACCCATGTCCAAGGAATGCGCCCGTTATTTAGAAATATTTTTCAAAATAATGGATGCGCTCTTTTGCCATCCGTGTAAACTTCGTTCTACGACGAGTAAGGGATGGCTCGAAATAGTACTATATTTTGAAATTTGGCGCTGTGTAGACAGTGCCAAATTTTGAAATAGTTTATTTCAAAATAGACTTGAAATAAGCTATGCAATTTGCTTATTTCAAGTTTCGGGTGCTGTGTAGACACACCCCAGAAGGCCTCAAAGTAGAGCATGAAGTTAGGCTCATATGTTTACTTAAATAGGCTGTTTTGGAGGGGTTTTGATTGATCCAAATTCCAACAAAAAGGGAAAGAAAGAAAGAAAGAAAGAAAGAAAGAAAGAAAGAAAGAAAGAAAGAAAGAAAGAAAGAAAGAAAGAAAGAAAGAAAGAAAGAATCTCCAGTTTGGGATGTTCTATATATTTGGAGAATATATCCACAAAATAGGATTGTCTTTCACATTGGGCACATCTACACTGAAGCGTTATTTTGGAATAACTGACGTTATTTCGAAATAATAAAGTGCGCGATTACACAGCAAGTCGTTATTTCAGAATAATGTCGAGCTGAAGGACTTCTTACTCCGACTCCTGTAGCCCTCATTTCATGAGGAGTAAGGGAAGCTGGAGGAAGAGTGTTCTTCCTACCACCTTCCCGCTGTGTAGACAGCACCAAAAGCTGAGTTAAGCTACGTCGACTTTGGCTACGCCATTGACGTATATGAAGTTGTGTAGCTTCATTCGACTTTTGCCCTGCAGTGTAGACATGCCCATAGAGATTTAGACTGAAGAAAAGGCTCTGAGAATCAAACAAACTCCAACTCTAATCTGTAGCCACCACAAGAACAGAGACTGACATTTACCAAAAGCGTACATCGGGTCGAAATCTGCAAAGCCACCTCAGAAATGCAACCTTAACAATTGAACAATATTGTTCTCGCAGCTTCTCTAACTACATTCAGAAGCTCTACAGTGTGGCGCCCACCCCAGACCAGACCTACTGGGATGTCTATGTACCAAAGCGGAAACCCCTTTCTGAACCAGCGTTAGCAAGAAAGGCCAGTAATATGTGTCAAACAAAATTGTGTAATGAGAAGCATTGGATACTTACTCTCCTCCACTGCACACAAGGTTGCAGCTTCTGCAGCCTATAAAGAAAAAAGGAAACAGTAAAATATGAATTACTGACAACTATTTTGACTCTAGTCTCTCTCTCTCTCTCTCTCTCTCACACACACACACACACCCATTTTTCCACTCTCTTGCTGGCAATTCAGCAGATGGCACCCTTCCCTTTTGAGTCAGACCTGAACCAGGACCCCCGCAAGAACTAGCAATGCTGTGCTTTTAAAAGCCTTTGAATTAAACACACAACCAAGGCCCCGACTAGCTGTACAGGTTGGACCTCCCTGATCCGGCACCCTCAGGATCTGACTGGTCCTGGATAAGGGATTTTGTCGGACCAGGGAAGGTCATTTCTGCCCCCCCTGCACCTCCCCACCCTGCTGCCCTACTGAGATTCCCAGCACCGTTAAACCTCAGCCCAACGGAGCCAGGCCAATGAAGCTGGGAGGGGAGCCCTTTTGAGGCACTAAGGGTGCATCTACACTGCGCCATAGGTCAAACTAAGCTGCGCAATGTGAGCTGCGCAATTTGCGTGTCTTATTTCGATCTTATTTCAATAGAGCTTATTTTGTCATGTGGCGCTCTCTTCACAACGCCAAATTGCGAAATAACCCGCTATTCCGAAACGTCCCTCACTCCTCGCAGAACGAGGTTTCCAGGGACGCCGGAATAGCGCGCCCGTTACATTTCGAAAGAACGGGCTCGCCGTGAAGACACGGGATAGCTATTTCGGGATACTCCGGTGCCCCGAAAGAGCGCCGCATTGTAGACGTCGCCTCAGGCTGAAGCAAAGACAAGGGGGCGGCTCTTCCCCAGCTGATTGACAGGTCTGAAGTGGGGCCAGGCTGGGGAAGGTCAGGGACTCCGAGCCAGGAGAAAAGTCTGGAACCTTCCCTCTGCTCTGCTGCGGTCCAGGCCTCCAACTATCTTAGACCCAAATGGAAAACAAGTATCAGGCCAAATCCTGCTCCCAGCGATACCTGTGGGACTCTGGGCTGAAGGAACGACAGTGAATCTGACAGTGATTCAGATTTACCCCTAGAGTGGTGAGAGCCGAGTTGGATCCTGTACATTCAGCACCGCCAAAGGGTGAGGGTCGGGGGCGGGGGCAATTGCTCCACACGGTGCTCTCCGGCCAGCTTTGAGGGCTGGCGGGGAAGGGGGCCGGGGAGGGCTGCTTCTGGGAGCGCAGAACCACCATCCCCCCACGTTCCCTGGCGATCCTGTTGGCTCCCCTGTGTGCATCGGCACATGTGTGTTGCCTATAGGAAGCAGGGCCAGCCCACAACATTTTGGCACTTGTGGTGGGGAGCTCAAACGACGCCCCCATGCCCTCTTGCTTAGGCCAAAATTTTGAAAGGTCTCAATTCTCTGGGTCCTAGTGGCCCCCTCCCCCCCCACTGTCTGGCACCTGAGGCAGCCACCTCAGTTCGCCTCATGGTAAGGCCAGCCCTAGCCGAAGACTGGGATTAAAGCTCCAAACATGGTGTCATGCTCCACAAAAGGGGAGGCCCGAGGGACCTCGTTCCCCCTCGCATATCCACACAACTGCTAGGCACAATGGCAGCCCCTGCCCGCAACGCCTGCAGCGCCAGAACTGGCAAGTGCCGGCTGCACTGAGCAGCGGCTGTGTTCCCAGGAGCTCTTGGAGGGACTGTGCCTCTGACCTCACTCCACGGTGAGCACGGCACAGCCCTGCGGTTATCCTGGCGGATTTGGGTTTTGTGCAGCTCGTCTGCTGTCCGATTCACTTAACCACAACACAGGGGTGCGCCCTGCATGACACCTTCAACCAGGAGACCGGGGCGGGGGGAGCTACAGAAAAGCTGGGAAGTACCGCAAGAAACCTCCCCGAACATGTGGGCTTTTCAGAGCCAGTGCAGGGAGGGGGTGGGCATTACTAGATGTCACACAATAGGAAATGGGGTTGCCAGATGTTATCAGAAAAAATACCGAACAAATTAAAAAAAAGAAAAAAGACCCCAAGGTTATTAAGCAAAAAAAAAAAAAGCCGTGGCCGCTTTAAGAAACATGTGGTGATGCTTTGGGCCCTAACAGACGGCCGCCTGCCATCTTGCCGGACAGCTCCCCTGTAGAACTCGGTAAGCACTAGGGTTGCCAGGCTGCCTCCATATTGAGCCGGACAGCCCAGGATTTTCGCCTCCTGCCCAGGAAAAATCAGAAAGTACCGGACATTTTAGGTATCTGGTATTTTCTGAATTTTTTTACCAGAAAGGAGGTGAAAATACTGAACTGTCCGGTTCAATACCGGACACCTGGCAACCCAAATAGGAAAGAACCTTGCTCTGCAGACCAGTCTCTGGCTTATGTCTAACGGAGTCTAGTGTAAAAACGGTTTGGGCTGGGTTTTGAACCTGGACCCTGCTGCTGGGATCTGCTCGGTGGCAGCGCTTTCAGGGCTGGCCTAATGGCCTGATTGGCTTGGAAGTGAATTTCGTTTTAAGTCCCCGTGAATTCCTCCTGGCTTTGTGCTTGGTCCTCATTGACTCCAGCGGGAGCAGGACCAGACCTTCTGAGAGCTGATGACCATGAGGGCAGCTGCCATCCCAGACGCTGGGTCCGTCTAGGTCAGCTAGCTTCCTTCAGCAGTGACCAACGCCTGACGTTTTAGAGCAGGGGTGGTGGAACACGGTGGTGGTTTGCCAGAGATAGCAAACCACTATATTTATCTGGCCACCACCGCTATATTTATCTGGCTGTAGGTACCGGTGATCGAAGCTCCCATTGGCACAGATTGCTGTACTCAGCCAACGAGAGCGGCAGGAGGCAGCACAGTCCAGGACAAAGCTTCTCGCAGCTCCCATTGGCCAAGAACGGCAATCTGTAGCCAATGGGAGGTGTGATCGCCGGTACCTACAGCCGTGCAGACAAATATTGCAGTGGTGGTCCGCCAGAAGCTCATCCTAGCAGACTGGATTCGGCCCGTGGGGCAGTATTTGCCAACCACTATTTTGGGGGGGAGGGGAAGAAGCCCGGTTCTCATACTGATTGAAAACTTTGCCCACGGAGGTAAGGGAATATTTCCTCCTGACTCCTGCATGTGACCAGGTTGTGAAATGTTACCTGGGATAGCGTAATGTTGCTAGCCGTCAGAGAATCACCTTGACTTTCATGGCCCCCGCCATAGTATTTTCCCTCCCGGGGTACTGATGCGACTGTGTGGAGAAGAGACCCCCCCCACACACACCTTGCAGAATTCAGCCAACCCCATGTCAGCACATCATCATGGGAGAGCCCCCCCGGATGCATTCACCCCTGTCGTCACCACGTAACCACGTACCGGAGCATCTTGGCCCACGCTGGTGAGAGGCTGCGGAACCACCTTCTCCAGGCCCTGAGCAAACCACTTGAACACCCTGCCAGCCAGAAACACCTGTTAAACTCATCTTATGGGCCTCACTTTCCTCATTGGCGGGGGCAGAGTTAGCCCCACAAAGGCCCACAAAGGTTCACCCTGTATTTCCGTCCACCCTCTGTGTATTGCTCTGCACCAGGCAACCGATCAGCCCTCGATTAATTCAATCCATCAGTCGATAGTGAGGTGTCAGAGATGGCTAGACACACACAGCATGGTCACGGGGTCCACCCAGCAAGCACAAGGCTGTACTCAGGGCAGCAGTGGCAAGGGCCAGTGGATCACACCCAGCATTAGGGAACCCAGCCCCTCAAACCCACAGATGGTCATCCAGGCACGACCATGGAACGTTCCGGAATTCACGCTGCAGTACCTGCCACCGTCGCCACCGAGTGTCCGAGGAAAGAGAAAGGCTCCAGGTCCCGACAAGCCGTCCGTAGAGGCCTGCTCCGAGGTTCTGGATACGCTGGGACTGGCTCGCGAGCTTCCCTTGAGTGCAGCCTGGCTCTCACTCACTTTGCGTTCTGCTTGAGATTTTTCACCGCGCGAGAGAGGCAACACTGTAAGTTTTCTTTTAAAGCATGGAGTCCCTTCAGGCTTAAGCCACCCTTGTGTAAAAGGCCAGATCGGATGAACATCACTGGAGTTACATGAGTCCCCCCAGTGAGCACCCAGCCCAAGGTCAGACCTAGATCCACTTCAAGGGCAAAAAAGGGATTTAGATTGTGCACTCATAGGTGCAGGATAAGCCCTCTGCCCAGCCTGTCAGACTTAAAACTCAGCGAGATAAAAGCCCTACTTACTGGTGTGTATTGCGGTGACATCTGGGGCCCGAATCCCAGAGCAGGGCCCCACGGTGTCAGGCCCGGGACAAACCCAGAACCAAAAGACAGTCGCTGCACTGAGACGCTTGCAATCAGACTCCCAAAACACCAGTCTCAGCATCACTTGCAGTCACGTGGCTGCATCACCCCAAATCGGCCCCAGGGATTTCGGAAAACCGCCACGAGAAGACGATGGAGGGGAAGCTTCATTCTGTGTTTTCAGTCCTCGGATTCCAGCAGTGGTTTGTGCACAGGGCAAGGCTCACCAGCATCAAAGAGATGACATTGTAAAGGGCCCCGGGTGACGTTTCAGAAGGTGACATGAAAACGGAGGAGTCGCACAACCTCAAGGGATCAGACTTGCCCTTTAGATCTAGGAGTGCTAGGATGGGCAGTAGCCCAATCATTGGTCCAGGACTGCCACATGCTCCTGTTGGACGGCACCAGACCCTAGACCCGACTAGTAATCTACGTCTTTTCACTGCCTGCAACCCCAGGGCTTTGAATCTGGGCTACTGAGAGTAACCAGCAAACTCAGATCCTGGGAAGGGATTTGGCTCTAGCAGACTCCCATGCACCTTAGCAAAAATCACTCACCTTCTCTGACGCCAGCCTCTTCAGACTTGCCCTCCTGCGCCTCCTGTCATACAAGCACATAGGGAACAGGCGGACATGCCAATAGCTGAATTCAAGTGACAGAGCAGCCAAAAGCAACCCCCGTGCCTCCTACCCCATCAGCGTTCACCCTCACACACTGTGGCCTGACAGAGATGCCGGACAGGCAAACAGGAACCAATGGTAATGCACACAAATGAAGGTATGATCTGATTGGCTCCTTCCCAGGCAAACGTACAACACTGGCTAACCTGACAGCCAGTATCAAAAGGCCTCTGGAGGGGATCCATTTTGGCAAAACGTATCTCCACAGCCCTTTTTTTTGGTTAACTGATTTTACATTTTAAAAAGCAACCACCAAAGATCCTAAGGAGCAATTAAAACTAAACTTCCTGTGTACTTGAGAGCTACGCTTAGACTGAGAATCATAGAATTATAAAATCCCAGGGCTGGAAGAGACCTCAGGAGTCATCGAGTCCAGCCTCCTGCCCAAAGCAGGACCAATCCCAACTCAATCATCCCTTCATAAACCTGTCTACACTCGGGGCATGTCTACACTACATTTCGAAATGACTCCCGTTATTTCGAAACAACAAGGTGGGCGTCCGCACAGCAAGCCCAGGATTTTGAAATTATTTTGAAATAACAGGTTTGTTATTTTGAAATACTAGCCCCTGAGTTTACAAGGAATAATGCGGAAAATGACCTGGGAAGTCCAGTGGATGAGAAATTGTATATGAGCCAACAGTGTCCCCTTGTAGCCAAGAAGGCTAATGGCATATTAGGTTGAATTAGGAGGAGCATTGTCAGCAGATCCAGAGAAGTGATTACAGTGAACCCTCATTTATCGCGGTAGATAGGTTCCAAACCCGACCGCGATAGTTGAAAATCCGCGAAGTAGGGACATGTATATTTAACATGTATACAGCGAGCCCTCGCTACTTCGCGGTTCGACCATCGCGGATTCACGTATATACATAATGTAATGAAAAAAGTCCGCGAAGTCGTGAATCCGCGATGGTCGAACCGCGAAGTAGCGAGGGCTCACTGTATTCCTCTTTATTCAGCTCTGGTGAGGCCATATCTAGAATACTGTATCCAGTTCTGGGCCCCCGACTATAGAAAGGATGTGGACACACTGGAGAGGGTCCAGCGGAGGGCAACCAAAATGATTAGGGGGCTGGAGCACATGACCTATGAGGAGAGGCTTAGGGATTTCGGCTTATTTAGTCCGCAGAAGAGAAGGGGGGGGATTTGATAGCAGCCTGCAACTTCCTGAAGAGGGGTTCCAAAGAGGCTGGAGAGAGGCTGTTCTCAGTGGTGACGGATGGCAGAACAAGGAGCAATGGTCTCAAGTTACAGTGGGGAAGGTCTAGGTTGGATATTAAGAAAAAATATTTCCCTAGAAGGGCGGGGAAGCACTGGGCTGGGTTCCCTAGGGAGGGGGTGGAATCTCCATCCCTAGAGGTATTTAAGTCTCGGCTTGACGAAGCCCTGGCTGGGTTGATTGAGTTGGGATTGGCCCTGCCTTGGGCAGGGGGCTGGACTTGATGACTCCTGAGGTCTCTTCCAGCTCTATGATTCTATGATTCTAACACCTATTTTGAAATTGCTGTTTCGAAATAGGGAAGTGTGGACGCAGAATGCTGCTATTTTGAAATAACGACTCCCCAGGGTCATTCAAAGTAATTATTCTCCAGTGCTTCCTGGGGCTCTACATCAAGGTAGCACATCCACATTGAGGGAGCCTGCCTCGGACAAATTTTGAGGCTTCCCTGTATGGTGGACATGCTATTTCAAAATATTTATTGTGGGAGTTATTATTTCAAAATAACTTTAAAAATAACGAATAGTCCTGCAGAATCTTAGAGCAGTGTTTCTTAAACTGTGTTCTGCAGCACATCGGTGTGCCGCAAGGAACAACCGAATTCAAAATGGCTGCCCTTAAAGGGGAAGGTGACTTTTTTTTCCCCCTCAACAAAAAATCCTTGGTGTTCCTTATAAAAAAATTTATCAGTTGGTGTTCCTTGGTCTTAAAAAGTTTAAGAAACGCTGCCTTATAGACTAACAAAACATGTAGATGGTATCATGAGCTTTCACGGGAACAACCCACTTCTTGTTTTGAAACAACCTTGTAGTGTAGATATAGCCTGAGGGAATTACTGATGGCCCAGTAGGCATATTTCAGGCAGGACTCAGCAGGCTGGTTCCGATATCACACAGGTTTTACACCCATATAGCTGAATCAATGCCAGTAGAATGACTGCCGCACGCACCGATGTAAGAGAGAACAGTCAGGCTGCCACATACTGGGCGTGCATGAAAAAGCTGTTTGTTTTCTTTTCTAACGGCTCTCAATAGAAAATCACCAGCTCTTTCCTCCCGAGGGGTATGCGTCTAACTAAGGAGCACGTGTTTCCCTTTGATTGTTCGCTGACCTAAGAGGCAGTGTTTCTTGCTCACTTTGAAGTTAGCATCCCCTGTGTGGACTAAAGCTGTTTCCACAAGCGAATCCTGCGTTTCAATAGAAACCTGTTTATTTTTTGATCCGCCAGCTTGTTTGCATGTTGAAAGTAATTCCGTCCCCCCCACACTCCTTTCAGGTCAATGTTTGGGCTGGGCAGGGTTAAAAACAAGCAGGAAAAGGCCCTTGGGTGGATCAGAGGAAGGAGCAGAGCAAAATGGGTTTGTTTCCTTCATCAGAGAGCTCTTCCGGAGGTACACCTCCCTTTGAATTAGCCCTGATGGTTTCATCGCTTGGGTGTTAGAGAACAGCATTACAGTTGTTACCTCGGGCAAGGCAGAGCTACAGGAGTCACTGTCTTTCGCGGCCCACAGACTGCCACAAACCAAGTGGTTCGCTGTGTCCCGTATAAACTCCACTGTCTCACCACACATAAGTCTGCTGCCCTTTGCTTGGCTGAGGCTGCTGAATGTGTCAGCCAAATGTGTCAGCCCTCTTTGGCGTGAGTCGGATGCTAGATGCTCTTTCAGGAGGGAGGCCAGAGCTGGGGCGGGGCCAGAGGCAGGGTGGGGCCACACGGGCGGGGCTTGGCTGTGGGGGCGG